GTTTAAATACAATCGACCCATTTAAAGTGTACAATTTAAATGTTTTTAGTATGTTCACGGTTGTGCAACTACCAGCATAATCTAATTTTGGAATATTTTCAACATCCAAAAATGAAAGCCCATATCTATTGTCTCAGTCAGTTCAGGTTGCCATAACAAAATGCCATAGACTGAGTGGTTTAAACAATAGAAATTTATTCATTTATTTTTATTTATTTATTTTTTGAGACAGAGTCTCGCTCTGTCTCCCAGGGTAGAGTGCAGTGGCGCCATCTTGGCTCACTGCAAGCTCCACCTCCGGGGTGCATGCCATTCTTCTGCCTCAGCCTCCCATGTCGCTGGGACTACAGGCGCCTGCCACCACGCCCGGCTAATTTTTTTGTATTTTTAGTAGAGACGGGGTTTCACCATGTTGGCCAGGATGGTCTCAAACTCCTGACCTCAGGCGATCTACCCTCCTCAGCCTCCCAACATGCTGGGGTTACAGGCATGAGCTACCGCACCTGGCCTAAGTATTGCTATCTTGAAGGAGGCAGACAGAAACCAAGCAGTCATGGGTGATGGGTGGGCTGAGTCTCTGTAAGTTGCCCAGGGAAGATAGCTCTGACAAATAATTAGAAGTTGCCAGCCTTGTGTACAGCTGAGGAAAGAGCATTCCAGGCAGAAGAGACAGCAAGTGCAAAGACCCAGAGGCCAGAAAGGCCACCAAAGTTGTTTGGTTCCGTGTCCTGAGCTACCAGCCTGGCAGATGGCAGGTGCCCAAAAACTGCTGGAGTGAGGGAATGCCCTTCTTTTGCCCTCCCTTCCTCCCCAGTCTGGGTGTCTCTGGAAGGTTGCTGCTCCGCCCACAGTGGAGGACACGTGAAGAACTGGAGTCCTTTCCTGGGGCAGACTCCAATACTGGGAGAAACTCTTCTGCCAGGACCATGGAACTGGGAGGTCCCAGTGTCTGTCTTTCCCAGCTGCTCTGAGAAAATCGGCCAGTGGTAGGTGGAGATGATATGGAGCCACAGAGCAGCAGAGCAACAGAGAGGGAAAGCGATGGTAGGGTAGACAGTACAAGGCTCCAGAGAGCTCCTGGATGCAGCAGTGCCTGAAGCTGGAGCCCTCCAAACCTCTATTTACAAATTTTCTCTCCGTGCAAGTCAGTTTGAGTTGGGTTTGTCACTTGCGACCGAAGACATCCTGACAAATACCCCAAAGCTACCCGCTCAGAGATGCCCAGAGGCCTCTCCAAAGCTGCCTCCTCAGGTCCGCACTGGGTGCCCTGTGTTGTCCCGTCCCTGGACGGCGCGAGCTTCTCGGTGGCTGTGCCAGCCTGGACAAGAGCAGGCCTTCCTTCCGACAGGCCCGTCCCCACTCCTCCATTCAGCCCTTCTCCGACCCGACAGCCTGGTCTAGGAGGCGGGGCGCAGGCCTCAGACCCTCAGGGCCCACGAGAGGCCAGGGCCGGCTGACTAGGTTAGGCGTGGCCAGCGCCCAGTGCGACGCACTGGCCGACCTAGCCGAGAGCATACGGAGGTTTCCAGCGAGTGTGGACGCGGGAGGCGGCCAAACCGCGCCGGGCCTCGATACCCCGGGCTCGGGACCTCCAGCGCTCCATCGCCGACCTCCTCAGCTTCTGACCAGACACCGAGACCCATAACACCCCGCGCGCGGCCTGGCCCCGCCCCCGCACGCCGTTCCCGCCCCTTGAGCCCAGTGCGCAGCCTTGGATTGGCCGGGGCGGCTTTCGCTCCTCTGCTGGGCGGAGCTGCGGGCCACACAGCGGACCCCCAAGTGGAGCGCTGGGACCCGTCCGTTGGCAGCCGAGTGTTGCTCCACATGGGGGAGGCCGGGGCTGGCACTGGCGCGCCAGGAGGGCCGGAGGCAAGCCCGGAGGCGGAGGTGGTGAAGCTGCTGCCCTTCCTGGCGCCGGGCGCGCGGGCGGACCTGCAGGCGGCCGCGGTGCGGCACGTGCTGGCGTTGACCGGCTCCGGGCCCGGCCGCGCGCTGCTGGCGGGACAGGAGGCGCTGCTGCAGTCTCTGGTGGAGCTGGCGCCGGCCTCTGCCCCGGCCCGCGACGCCGCCCGCGCGCTCGTGAACTTGGCCGCCGACCCCGGCCTGCACGAGACGTTGCTGGCGGCCGATCCCGGGCTGCCAGCGCGCCTGCTGGGCCGCGCGTTGGACCCGCAGTGGCCCTGGGCCGAGGAGGCGGCCGCCGCGCTGGCCAACCTCAGTCGCGAGCCGGGTCCGTGTGCCGAGCTGATGGCTGCGCTGGCGGCCGCGGAGCCGGCAGACTCGGGCTTGGAGCGGCTGGTGCGGGCGCTGTGCACGCCCGGCTACAACGCCCGCGCGCCCCTGCACTACCTGGCGCCGCTGCTCTCCAACCTCAGCCAACGCCCTGCGGCGAGGGCCTTCCTACTGGACCCCGACAGGTGAAGCCCAGGGCGCCCGCGCGGGCGGGGAGGGGACGGAAGTTAACGGGGACGGCCCTGAGTGACCCCTCCCAACAGGTGCGTGGTCCAGCGGCTGCTGCCCCTTACCCAGTACCCCGATTCCTCTGTACGCAGGGGCGGGGTGGTGGGAACGCTGCGGAATTGCTGCTTCGAGCACCGTGAGTGGTGGGTGTGGCGGGGGGCGTCGCCAGGGGTGGGGACTGGACTCCGGGCTGCTCTGGACCAGTCTCTATTCCTGTCTCCCTACCCTCGCCGTCCCTCAGGACATCACGAGTGGTTGCTTGGACCTGAGGTGGACATTCTTCCCTTTTTGCTCCTGCCCTTGGCTGGGCCTGAGGATTTCTCCGAGGAAGAGATGGAACGTGAGTGGCTAGTGTGGAGCCTCAGAGTTGGCCAGAGAGGAGGGAGGCCAGTGGAGGGAGAGAGAGGTGTCCAGGCCACAGGCTCCTTCTGAAACCTTGCAGCAGTGAGTTTGCTGAGCACAGGTGGGACTTACACAGGCAGAGCCTGGCCCAGCTGCCCAGCTCAGGGACACAGTGACTCCCACACGCTCACCCCTAGGGCTGCCTGTGGACTTACAGTACCTGCCACCAGACAAGCAGCGAGAACCTGATGCAGACATCCGCAAGATGCTTGTTGAAGCCATCATGCTGGTGAGCAGGAGCCCTGCTGCAATAAGCACCATCCCTGACACACACACACGAGCATGCTGACATCTGGGTAACCTCTTCCACCTCCTCAGCTGACAGCCACAGCACCAGGTCGGCAGCAGGTGCGGGACCAGGGAGCCTACCTGATCCTTCGAGAGCTGCACAGCTGGGAGCCAGAGTCCGATGTGCGGGTGGCTTGTGAGAAGCTCATCCAGGTTGGTGCAGGGTTGGAGAGGCTGGGGAAGGGGTATCTGTAGCTGGCCAGCTGCTCACCTGCCTCCCGTCTGGCAGGTGCTTATTGGGGATGAGCCTGAACGTGGCATGGAAAACCTGCTGGAGGTGCAGGTGCCTGAGGATGTGGAGCAGCAGCTGCAGCAGCTGGATTGCCAGGAGCAGGAGCAGTTGGAGCGGGAACAGGAGCGGGAGCAGGAGCGGGAGCTGGAGCTGGCCCCAGAGCCATGGGTGGAGAGGGCCACACCCACCTGAGGCCCCTGCAGCCGGACACAAGCTCCAGGGTCCCCTTTGCCAGGCTTTCTCAGACCAGGCCTTCCTGCAGCTGCCTACAGGCCCCTTGAGTCCCCTTGCTCTGAGACTGTGCCCTGCTAAGAAGCAGAGCTACACTTAGGCTCCAGTAAGAATTGGAGGCACTTCCCAGCCCTGTGCAGTGTTGCTACCAGCAAGAATGCAGGTTGCGCACAGCAGTACTGTGGGCCAGGCACCATGACTCGGCTGCCTGTGCAGAAGGTGGAGGTGGCAGGCAGATAGCCAGGGAGCCATGAGAAGACTCTTCCTGGGCACAGCATGGGGACTGGACGGAAAACCACTGCAAGCCCCAAGGAGCCAGCTGAAGCTTCCAAGTCCCCAGGGCACTGCAGGGTCTGGACAGAGGTATAAGTGCTGCTTTGTCAGCCCCACTCCCTGCGGCTCTCAGCTCCCTGTTCCCTGAGACCTGGCCTCAAAGGGCTGACCCAGCCATACCTAGATCCTGGGGTCTTTCTAGGACTGTGCCTCCCTGCTTGACCAATGCTCCAGGACCCTGCCCTCAACCCTTGTCAACTCCCTATGTCTTCCTGTTTCCCAGTCTCAGATTGGGTGGGTGCTCTCACTGGCCTCTCTAGCTAGGCCATCTCCCTGATCAGCTTCCTTGAGCCTGGGCCACTCCTCCCTGGCCTTCCTACCTCTGCCAAGAGCCTCCAGATGTGCCTGCAGCCTGGCCCCTGTCCAAGCCTCTCCCCCAGCCACCCTCTGCCCCTGTGGTAGAGCCCACTATGGGCTCAGGGATCTTACCTGCTTCTCCCTTAGACCTGTGTGCATCCCCCCACCTGCCAGGTCTGTGGCTGCTAAGCCCCACAGGGGCTTGCCACACTCTTCCCTTCCTGAGCCGATCTGACCTCACTGCCACCTCTTGCATTGGGCTCCTGAGGGCTGGCCCCTTCTCACTGATGGGCCCTCCCAGGCCCCTTGAACCCTGGTGAAGGAGCTTAACTTGTTTTCTTGAGCGTTCACAATGCCTCACTCTACACCCTAAAACTGGAGGCTCGGGTGCCAGGCGTCTCCCGCCTCCAGGATCTCCTCTCACCTGCCCCCAATAAAGCTCTGCCACTCATGCAGGCATGTGTGGACCATGTTTTCCCCTGGCCAGAGCCCCCGCCTGCCACTGGAGGCCACTTGCCCTCTCAGCACTCAGACATCTTCACTCTCTTCACAGAATACATGCTTTATTTGGCCTTGCCCCACCCCCTCACCCTCAGTTTACTGGAGCGCCTCCTGGAGGAGCTCACTCCTAGGCTGGCTGCCACAGTGCTCCAGAGCACCAGCTGGGCAGAACCCACCCCTCTGGGGTGTGCTTTCGGAGGCCTGAGCTCAGGGCCCGCGTTCTCCTTGGGGATGCCCTGCTGTTGGGGGCATGCAGCTACAGGACTGGCCATTGGCGCTCTAAGTCTGTACCAGGCTCCAGGTCATCCATGGATGCTGGGAATTGGGACTGCACCTGCTTCTCTGCAAGGGACCACAGTGGGGTCAGGTGGAGTGCAGAGGGACCACGTGCTGCTCAGTTGCTCACCCACAGGGCCACACCACACCTGGCACAGCACTGAGGAAGAGCGTGTTCGCTGCAGGCCGAGGCATGTGTTTGGACGCAGCTGCAGCAGCCCCCAAATCAGGTCCTGGCACTGTGGGCGAGGGCTCACAGCTGCAGCCTCTCACCACTCCAGCACCCACCTTCACCCCATACACATCACTGCCAATGGTGCCAGCAGCTTAGAGGGGTCAGTTCTGTTGCCAGTGGGGAGACTGAGGCATAGAGGGGCAAGGCAGTGTGCCCTGGGCTAGTGCAGAGCTCAGGTTCGCAGCCACAGCCTTTCCTGAATTGCATTTTGAGTCAGGTCCTCCACCAGTCCAGCTTCCCCAGAACTTGTCACTGCCGTGCATGGACCAAACGCTTCCCAGCCTAAGCGGGGAGAATGCCAGGTTCAGTCTCTTCCACCACGCAGGACTACCCTCTTGGGAGTCCAGGTCTTCCTCACTGCCGCTCTCTAGGCCTGAGCTAGGTGTGGGAAGGTCATGGGGTGGTGCTTACCTGGGAACAGACCTGGCCAGAAGGTGGGACCGCAGTGCATGAGGTGCAGCATGCAGTGGGGCTGGGGCTCCTTGAAGGGCAGCTTCTTACTCACCATGGCATAGAGGATGACACCTCTGGGGACATGAGCTCCTACGGGTGTGGCCTCTCCCCAGCCCTCCCGTGGGCCCTGGCCACAGGGTTGGGGTGCCCTGGGGGCACTCAGACTCCACAGGTTGCCCCATTGCCTGGGGTCAGGGCTCCCTGGGAGGCACTCACAGGCTCCACAGGTCAGCCTGCTCCTTGCTATACTCGCTGCTCACAAGGATCTCGGGCTGTGTAGACTGGGGAGCCACAGAAAGTGCTGAGCAGTGAGTTCCTGGGCCCCACGCAGCTGGCGAAGCCAAAATCTGTACCAGGTGCGTGGGGAGGGTGGCACTGTGCGTGAGGGTCGGGTGCAGGATGCCAGTCTGCAGGGATGGCTGTGGAGGCTTGTGGGGTTGCATGCAGTGTGTGGCCGACAGCAAGAGTGTGGGTGTGGATGAGGTGGGCCTTGTCTGGGGCATACGTAGGGGTTAGGCCAGTGGCCTCAGGCCCATGGGTAAGGGTGGCCTGCAGGCCTTCTGGGAGAGCTGAAGGCAGGGGCCTGCCTGGGACAAGCGTGGGTGTGGGCCCGGCAGGTGGAGGCATTCAACCCCAGGCTGGGGTCAGGACGGGGGCTGTGGGCTCACCGGTCAGCTTGAGAAGGCCGAGGTCGTCCAGCAGGATGTTCTCGCCCTTCAGGTCCCTGCATGGGAGAGGGGAGGCAGGAGGTAGGGCTGGCTTGGGCTCAAGTGGGCCTCTCTGTGCCTGTGGGCACACGATCGACCCAGGTGCCGCCCTCTCTGGTACACGACGCCCACGCTGTGGTAGTGTGCCATGGCACTGACCAGCTGCCAGAACAGTCCAAGGACTTCCTTCTCCTCCAGCCCTGGGTGGCAGAGGTGGTCCAACGCAGCGTTGATGTGCTCCAGCAGGTCGCCCTGGGCCACTAGCTCCAGCACGAGCTGGCTGCTCTGATAGGCCTCATACAGCTGCACCTGCAGCCCACACACCTGCCATCACCCTGAGGCAGGGCCAAGGGTGTGCTGGAACTGTCAAGGGTACCAGATCCAGGTTCCAGGATGGGGTTGGGCTCCAGCCCTGGGGCGAAAGGGAGGTCCAAGGTGGGGGGAGGGGGCAATAGGCCTGCGGCAGGCAGCTGGCTGGGGAGAGCTACCCTTGGGGAAGGGGAGGGTGGGGACAGGCTGTGTCCAGGCCTCTGCCCACCACGTTCAGGTGCTTGTAGGTAGTGTTGAGTGACGGAGATCTCACGGGGCAGGAGCTTGCGGGAAAACTCCACCGGGGCCTCGGTTGTGGAGACGATCTTGACAGCTATCTGTAGGGTGGACGGCACTTGCTGTGTGAGACTTGGCCCCTGAGGGGCTGGCTGTGGTAAGGCAGGCGCCTGTCCTTTATACACTTTGCTGGAATCCTCAGGGGGGGACGCTGGGTGAGCAGTGCCCTTGGAGGGCAGCGATGACCTCCCCACTCCCTCCTGTGCCAAGTACTCTGTGTTCAAGGGGTTTGGGAACAGGGGATGGTCAGCCTGCAGGAGCCCCAGAGAGGCCTCTGGGGAGGAAATGGGACTGGGGAGAGTCTCAGGCGGAGGAAGCTGGAGCAGCTGGATGGTGCCTGAGTGGGTTTGGGACACATAGGGGCCTGCTGGGGCCAGGCTGGGGGCACTGGAGCCCCTTGGGGAGGGAGGTAAGCCTGCCTTACCATGGTGTGGCGCTTGCCCTGCAGATCGGAGGACAGCTTGGGGTTGTGGTGCATGCACTCGTGGGTGGCATCGGCCAAGTACACTTTGGGGAACAGGTAGCCATTGTCCTTGCCCTCATGTACCTGCTCTGTGAAGGTTCTCTGAGTCAGCTTCTGCCTGCTGCTGCCCTTCATGGAGGGCAGTGCATGGGAGGGGGTGTGGTGGTCCAGTTTCACCAGCCTTGGGGGGCACGACTGAGGCCTGACTTGTGTCAGAGGGCAGGGGCCAGGGTGGTGGGGGGCGCTGGGTGGGAGCTGCGTCGCTCTTGAGGCAGCAGCCACGCTTCTGAAGACTTGCTGGGACTGCGGCAGAGGCAGGGAGTGATGGGGCTGCGAGCTCAGGGCGGGGGCTGGCACAGCCCTGGACTGGGCAGGGGGAGGGCTAGCTCAGGGAGAGGAGGGGCAGAATCTAGAATGGAGAATTCTAGAGCTGTACCTGCATTGTGCCCTTGAAGTGTACGTCTTCTTGTTTTGGGGACCTGCCCGCTCTGAGGACATCTTGTGGGACCAGTCCTGCCCACATGGGGCCCACTCTCTGTGAGGTGAAAACCCAATTCAAGAGCTATAGCCAGGGTGAGGCCTCTGTGGACCCCTCTTGACGTGGCTGGCCACAGAAAGCCATTAAAGAAATGAGGGTGGGGATTTCTGGGACATAAAAACAGGAAAAGGGACACATAGGTGCCAACCACCATTTCAACTGCACCCCTTCCTCATTCGAGAGGATACCACGGCCACACTCAGCTGGGCCCTAAGGTGGGCTGAGCCAGAGGAAGGCAGGCAGGAGCCCTGTCTGTCTCCCAGCCTTCTCCACTGAAGCCTGAAGCACCTCCTGCCCAGGCCAGCAGGGTGCAGGAAGCCTCCCACCTAGAGACCTCTGCAGACTTGACCGCACACCCCAGGGCAAGCAAGGACCCCACCCCGAGCCCACCTCTGATCCTACAGCTCCAAGAGACAGAAGCCAACTTTGCCCCTCCCTTCTGGATCCCAGAGTGCGCTGTGGGCACTATTGCTGCTAACGTTTGAGTGCCAGCTGTGTGCTGAGTGCCATTCTGGGCAGTCGCATGAGCTACAGCTACCACCTGTAGCAGTCCTGCCCCCATTCACAGAACACATTCAGGTGCCCGGCCCGTGGGGGCAGTTCACATCCAGGATCTCAAGTCCTAACACAACCAAGCAATCCTCGCTTTACAAATGATGACATTAAGGCCCCATGGTGGGGAAGCCCAACCTAAATGTGTCATCTCTGCTGTGAGCTGGACAGCAGAGTGGCTGTGAGCTTGGAGGGCAGGGCTGCCTGATGGGCAGCCATCCTGGGAATGTCTGCATGGGGCCAGTGCTTGGTACAGGCCAGCGAGTCTGGGGAATTGGAGTCTCCTCTACTGAGATCTGTGGGTGCACGTGGCATGTTTGCTGCAGAAAAGGCCCTGGAACGGGCTGGCTTGAACTGGAAAAACACACTTTTTCATCCCTTTTGGACCATGAGCTTTTGAGAGCAAGGCATGCGTTTGATATTCCTTTGCTCACCCTCATCCCTTGTTTGGCAAATTGCCTGGGATACAGGAAATAAGGACAAGATCTGGGTGTAGTGCCTCATGCCTGTAATCCCAGCACTTTGGGTGACCAAGGCAGGAGGATCTCTTGAGTCCAGGAGTTTCAGACCAGCCTGGGTAACATAGTGAGACCTTGTCTCTGCAAGAAAACTTAAAAATTAGCCAGACTTGGTGGTGCCCACCTGTAGTTCCAGCTATTTGGGAGGCTGAGGCAAGAGGATCACTTGAGCGCAGGAATTTAAGGCTGCTATGAGCTGTGATCGTGCCACTGCACTCCAGCCTGGGTAACAGTGAGAGGCCTCATTTCAACAATAAAACCTAGCTTGGGCCGAGCACGGTGGCTCACGCCTGTAATCCCACAACTTTGGGAAGCCGAGACTGGCAGATCACGAGGTCAAGAGATCGAGACCATCCTGGTTAATATGGTGAAACCCCATCTCTACTAAAAATACAAAAAAAAGTAGCCTGGTGTGGTGGCAGGCATCTGTAGTCCCAGCTACTCGGGAGGCTGAGGCGGAAGAATGGCGTGAACCTGGGAGGCAGAGGTTGCAGTGAGCAGAGATTGCACCACTGCACTCCAGCCTGGACGACAGAGCGAGACTCCGTCTCAAAAAACAAAAACAAAAACCCACCTTGGGCAACATAGTGAGACCCTGTCTCTTCAAAAAATTTAAAAATCAGTCAGGTGTGGTGGTGTGCCCTGTGGTCCCAGCTACTCCAGAGGCTGAGGTGGGAGAATCACCTGAGCCCGGGGAGGTTGAGGTTGCAGTGAGCACCACTGCACTCCAGCCTGGGTGACCGACCTCAGAAAAAACAAACTGATTTGTGGTTGACCTGGGGGTGAGGAAAAAAGAGAAGCTGCTCCAGGCAATTTAAGCTGGTGGGATTGGTTGCTCAAGTGTTAGAAGGGCTGGAGAGGCACGGGGGCAGGGTGGAGTTCGTCGAAGGTGGGGGCTGCAAGAAACGGTCACTCTAGAACCGGAGCCAGGTGGTCCAGACCCAGGGTAGCTGAGCCTCTGGGCTCTGCAGCGGAGCCTGGGAGCCTGCGCCCCCTGCGGCGCACCTCCTCTCCCTCCCGGCTCCCACCAGTGCCAGGACGCGGCCGGAAGCCCGGGAGTGTCAAGCCAACTGATGACTGCAGGATCAGAACGGCCATTGGCTCTGTCCACCCTCCCTTTGCAGTCTCGATTATCCGCGCCGTTGCCTGCACTTGAATTCATTCCCGGGGCTTCACTGGGCAGCCGTCCCGTGCTGGGCTTTGTGCGGAGCCCTAGGGAGAAAATGCAGACTCAGGCCTGCCCCCTGGCGGAGGGGCTGGCGCTTGTTTGTGGTCGGAGTGAAAGCGGGGTTGTGCTGCGCGCAGCAGCTGTGTGCGCGGCGCGGAGGCGACTCCGAGACCGGGAGGGGACAGGGCCACAGGCGCGTGGCAAGTCGCCGCAGGGGCCGCGCCCACATCCGCGAAGGGTCCTGCGCTCTCCTGGGCGCCGTCCCCACAGCGGGAGCCCAGTCCCTCCGGCCTGGAGTGGACATCCTGCCTGCGCTGCTCCCGCCGCCTCCGCCTCTGCCGACGCCAAGCCTGAACGCGCGGCGGGCGCTTTCCTTCCTCACATCGCTCTTATCGCGTCCCGAGCTCCCGGGACCCCGCTGGCCGCCTCTTTCCCAACGAGCGCAGGGCCCCGCAAGTCCTGCCCCCCTCCCGGTGCCGCGGCCTCCAGCGGGCGCTTCCGGGCAGACAGAGGGCGGGCGTGTGCTTGCGAACGGCCGCAACGCCGCGCCGAGCCCGCGTCCCCGGCGTCTGGGAGCGGAGGTCGCCAGGGCTCTGTGCGTCCGACAGGGACACAGGGACGGCTGGCGTCGCTGTCACGAGCCTGAAGGCCGCGCCTGCGCAGTGGCGGCCGCGCTGGCGCTCAACAGACCAGGCGGTGGCCCAGGAGCGGCCGAGGGCGGGGCCGAGCGAAAGCCGAGTCTGCGCACTCTTGCTTTGCAAATGAAGGTGGGTGGGGTGGAGCGAGCGTGAGAGACGTGCACCTGACCAATAAGTGCAGAGATCGTTCGGGGGCGGGGACCTACTGCCGCGCTCCGGGTTGCGGTTGGCCAGAAGACAGCGAGGGCGGACTCGGCGCGCGCGGCTCCGCCCACTCCGGGGCACTGCTGGGCGGGAAGGCGGCGCCCCGGCGGAGGTGGCGGCGGCTCCTCAGGTAAACGGCTAGCGGGGATGAGCCTTCGGCGGCGCTGGGGAAGGGCCTCCCGGGGAAGTCTGGGCTGGAGAGCCTGAGGCCGCTCCCTTGGCGGGGCCGCGGAGGAAGCCGAGTCAGGAGGCGCCTCCCCAAGGTCACAGGGCGAGCGCTGGGAGGGTCCTGGGTGTCGCGGGGACCTTGGCTCAGGTGTGCGCCGCGCCACAGCCCGGAAGAGAGGCCGGAGCTGTGCGGCTGTTCTCTCCTCCGCGCCGCTAAGTGGTCTCGGCCGCGCGACCGCCCCTCCTCGGGGAGCGCGGTGGTCCCAGGTGCCCGCCCCTCCCGGGAGCGCGGTGGTCCCCGGTGCCCGGCCCTCCCCGGGAGCGCGGTGGTCCCCGGCCCTTCTCCCCCAAGCGGGGCCACCGGGGGTGCTCTCTCCGGGAAGCCAAGCATACGCCTGGAGCCTGCAAAGCCGGCGTGCCCCGGCCTCCGTATGCCTTCCGTATTCTCTGACGATCGCGAGCAGGAAGGTGATTTGTCCCTAGTCACGAGGATGACTGGTCATAGCGTGCAGGGCATAGAGCTGGCAGGGCCGCGGGGAGCCAGCCCTCACTCAGCCAAGGTGAGACTTAGGGGCTGCCGGGCAGGAGCTGAGCGGCCGATTTGGGGTCGGGTTTTCGGGCAGCGTCGGTGCAGCTGCAGTGTTAGGGTCAGAGAAACCACTCCGCGGGCGCTGGTGGCTCGGCCCTACACACTCTGGGGAGGGGCTCCTTTGCCTGCTCAGGTGGGGAAGGGACAGACCCATAAACTCAAATGCAGTGAGGTAAGCAGAAAGGGGTACGGGGGCGTGGCCGAACTCAGGGGTGTGAGCAGAGTTGGGTCGGGGACAGCCCCGTAGGCAGGAACCACTTTGGAAGGGGATGGTGGTGAACGCACACGATGCGGTAAGAGGCAGGCAGGGTAGGGCCGGTGATAAGTCAGGTGAGGGTGATGAGTTTAGAGCTGTTGGGTCTCAGTGCGATGACCATGGATGGAGATGTCCTGGGGAGGCGAGGACTGGAGATGCGTGTGGGAATCGTTGTTTGCGGCATGTTTCATCGGTGGTACGTGTTTGTGACGTGGCTGCATGGACAGTCTGGGCACCCTGGGGTGCTGCTGTCAGCAGGATCTTCACTGCTTAGTCTCAGGCTCCCAAGGTCCTCGTGAACAGGTGTCTCTGGTCTCTCTTTGATGTCAGAGTGGAATGACCTGAGGTTGAGCTGTCTTCGTTAACTTGAAACTGACATGCAGGCCTCGTGGCTTGTGGAGACCTGCACTTCATCATTTCCCACTGGCTGGTGTTGATTGCTGACTGCTGCAGGACACCAGGGGATCAGAGGTGGAGGATGTGGGGCGTGTGTTTGCCTGAGTTTGTGGCTGTCGCCTGTGTCAGGAAACAGGTGCCTGTGCTTAGTTTTGTTTCCCAGGGTCCACAGAGGCCCAGGAGAGAAGCCTGGTTGCTACCCTCTGTCTCAAAGCCCCCTTTCACAGAGCTGGTTATTTGGGGTAGAGACATCCTCTGTCTGTGCCAGTCCACACAGCTTGGTCTCTTTGGGGTAGGAGCACCATGAAAGGCTCCTGTGGCTCTTGCGAGCTCCTAGTCAGTGCTCAGAGAACACGGACTGCTGCCCATCATGAGAAATGTGCTTTCTTCACTGAGCTGGAGGGGCCACCTGGTTTTGGGGGTTTGCACGCGCACCAGTGACACAGCTTGGTGTGGCCTGTATTGAGGAACCATGTTCTCGGTGGACTGTGAGCAGTGGGCTGTGGGATTGCATTTCCCTGGGTCATCAGCCCAGGCCTTGTTGGTGACTTTGGAGGTTGATTCTGTGGCTGCTGTGCTAGGAGAGAAGGTTCCTTGGACCTGACGCATGGGTGGGGCATTCTGTGACCACCTATTCTCCCTGCACACACCCAGCCCCGCAGGCTGGCTCACCACTGCTTCTGGGCTATGGTTCCTGTGGCCTGCACAGCCTCGCACACCCCCACCTAACCCTTTCGGACCCAGTGCAGTGCCTCTGTTGTGTGCACGGGTGTGGCAGCCATACTGTTTGTGGCCGGAGGGCTTTCAAGACAGGAACTTTGGGCCCGTGATGGTGACTGGCGGGTGTTTACTAAATGTGGTTGAATAAATGAAAAGGAAGCAGCTCTTTCATTCACACAGAAATGTGTGCTATGTAGGGGGAGAGAACCCTATCAAACCTGCCTGCCACCTTCTCCCGTTCGTTTGCTTTTTAGTAATTTAACCAGAGCCCTGATTAGCATTTGTGTTTTTTTCTGACATCCCGGTTACATCCATGTCTGTGTACTAGTGTTAGGGCATCTGTAGATAGATGTGGAAAAGTGGAAATGTAGCCACCGAGGCTTGTTGCAGCTGTTCTTCAGGCTCTGCTACTGGCACCAGCACCTGAGTGGCCCCTGCCCTCAGCACGTCAGATGCTCTTGGTGTTCAACTGTGTGCTGGCCTCACTGCAAGTCTTTGACTTGTGACACTTTTTGCCATGTAGCCTACAAATAGAGGTACTGGTCATCACTGATCATCACCTTTTATAGGTGGTGGGACAGGGCACAGGGATTTTCCATGCCTGCTCATGGCTTACTGGCTCTGCCACTGAGCCCTTATCCAGCTGCTGATACGGGAGTACTGGGAAGAGAACAGCGTGGTCCCTTATGGAATGGGGGAAGGGAAGTGCTGGGTAGAGTAGGGCATGGTCCCTGGCTAGGGCTCCACCCCCACGGACCTAGGTGAGGACAGGCACTCCTGCCTTCCTGCCCAGATGTTGCATTTCCCAAGACCACCCTGGCCTGCCATACCCTCCTCCTGTGCCTATAAAAACCTGAGACCCAGGCCGAGGGTGATGGCTCATGCCTGTAATCCCGGCACTTTGGGAGGCCCAGGCAGGTGGATCAGGAGTTTGAGACCAGCCTAGCCAACATGGTGAAACCCCGTCTCCACTAAAAATACAAAAATTAGTCGAGCATGGTGGTGGGCATCTGTAATCCCAGCTACTCAGGAGGCTGAGGCAAGAGAATCTCTTGAACCTGGGAGGCGGAGGTTGCAGTGAGCCAAGATCGCGCCATTGCATTCCAGGCTGGGTGACAGAGCAAGATTCTGTGTCAAAAAAACAGAACAAAACAAACAAAAAAACTCCAAGACGCTAGCAAGGCAGGGACACAGGCAGCTGGACATGGAGAGGAGCAGATTGGCAGAAGAAGACACAGCAGCTGGACCTCGAGGGGAGCACACCCGTGGAAGAGCACACCAACAGACGCCAGCACGCTGGCAGGCCATCGACTGCCTGGACAAGGCGGAGTTTGGCCAGGACGGTCGGTCAGAGGAGAGCCGGGGCCGCCAGGCGGCCCAACTCCAGGGGAAGACCATCTGCCTTCCGGCTCCCCCATTGGCTTAGAGCTACTCCCATTCAATAACACTTTACACTCATTCTCCAAGCCCAGGTGTGATCCGATTCTTCCATTACACCAAGGGGCAAGAACTTGGGATACAGAAAGCCCTCTGTCCTTGTGAGAAGTAAAGGGTATAATTGAGCTGGCTGGCACAAGCTCCTATAGACGGCAAACTAAAAGAGCACCCTACAACACACACCCACTGGGACTTCAGCTGTAAACATTCACCCCTAGATACAGCCTGTCCGTCTCTGTGCTCCCCTAGAGGTTTGGGCAGCGGGGCACTGAAGAAGCAATTCACACCCACATCACACGCCCTGCAACGGGACAAGGGAACATGTCCGCAGCACCGAGCCGCACTGCTGTCAGTCAGCTCTGGAAGGGCAGCTGAGTGCCTCTGTTCATCCTAGGGGCAGTCAGCACAGTCCCCATATGTCTGCCGGCGATCTCTCCGTCTTCTGAGAATTGCACGTCCTTTGCTCTTTCCTGTTTATCTCAGGGATGTGCACAAGCTCCTTTGCATACAGTAGTCCTTCCCTCTCCACAGGGCTACTCTCATACCTATATACCTATGATAAAGTGTAACTGTAAGTGAAACACAGCAAGAGACTGACAACAAATAACAAAATAGAACAATTTATGACAATACTCAGGGCAGCGTGCAATTTAAAACATGAGTTTCATTTCTGGAATTTTTCTATTTAATATTTTTGGACTGTGTTTGATTGTGGGTAGCTGAAACCAAGCAAAGTAAAACAGGATGAGAGATAAGAGGGGACTACTATGTTAATATAAGGCAGGTTATCTTCTCATATATTATGATTGGTTTATCATAATTGCCTTGTGTTTTGATTAAAAAAAAATTTTTTTTTTTTTTTGAGACGGAGTCTCACTCTGTTGCCAGGCTGGAGTGCAGTGGCACGATTTTGGCTCACTGCAACCTGCACCTCCTGGGTTCAAACCATTCTCCTGCCTCAGCCTCCCGAGTAGCTTGGGACTGCAGGCGTGTGAAAAATTATTTTTTTAATTGACAAAATTGTATATATTTGTGGTATCTGACCTGTTTTGAAATATGTACACCTTGTGGAATGGCTAAATCAAACTAATTAACATATACATGACCTCATATACTTTCTTTTTTTTTTGAGATGGAGTCTTGCTCTGTTGCCCAGGCTGGAGTGCAGTGGTGCAATCTTGGCTCACTGCAAACTCTGCCTCCCAGGTTCATGCCATTCTTCTGCCTCAGCCTCCTGAGTAGCTGGAACTACTGGTGCCCACCACCACGCCTGGCCAATGTTTTGTATTTTTTAGTAGACATGGGGTTTTACCATGTTAGCCAGGATGGTCTCGATCTCCTGACCTTGTGATCTGCCTGCCTTGTCCTCCCAAAGCGCTGGGATTACAGGTGTGAGCCACCACTCGTGGCCGTGACCTCATGTACTTTCTACTGGTGCTGAGAGCACTTAAAATCTACTGTCAGCAATTTTCAAGTATATATCACGTTGTTGTTAACTCTAGTCATCTATGTTGTGCAATAGATCCCTTGAATTTATTCTTCCTGTCTAACTGAAGCATTGACCCTGTGACCAACATCTCCCCAGTCCTCCGCCTCTGCCAGCCCCTGGTAGTAACCACACTTTTTTTTTTTTTTTTGAGACAAAGTCTCGCTCTGCCGCCCAGGCTGGAGTGCAGTGGTGTGATCTCGGCTCACTGCAAACTCTGCCTCCTGGGTTCACGCCATTCTCCTGCCTCAGCCTGCCAAGTAGCTGGGACTACATTATCTGCCACCAGCCTGGCTAATTTTTGTATTTTTAGTAGAGACGGGGTTTCACTGTGGTCTTGATCTCCTGACCTTGTGATCCGCCCGCGTCGGCCTCCCAAACTGCTGGGATTACAGGTGTCGCGAGCCACCACTCCGGCCATGACCTCATGTACTTTCTACTCTTACTGAGAGCACTTAAAATCTACTGTCAGCAATTTTCTAAGTATATATCACGTTATTTATTAACTCTGGTCATCTACGTTGTGCAATAGATCCCTTGAATTTATTCTTCCTGTCTAACTGAAGCATTGACCCTGTGATAACATCCCCTGTGACCAACATCTCCCCAGTCCTCCGCCTCTGCCAGCCCCTGGCAACCACGGTTCTACTCTTCTAGGAGTTCAGCTTTTCATAGA